CTTCAACTCCCAGAATTCCCCAGCCAGCTGCTGGCTGGGGAATTCTGGGAGTTGAAGTCCACGCATCTTAAAGTGGCCAAGGTTGACAAGCACTGGGCTAAACCAATCCAATATCTTTGTTGGGAATTCGCCGTGCGGAACGCACCTCCTCAACACTGATTGGCCGGAGGGGGCCAAGCCACACCTACTGCTGCCTGGGTGGCCAATGGAGAAAGGGCTTGTGATGGGGAGTCTTAACATGACTCACATGGTCCACGGGGTGGTAAACATACTCCCAGGAGGAAGGCGGGAGCCTCTTTTGACCCAGTCAGAGTGACCGCCTGCTGCCAGAGCCACCAATAAGGAGCTCTAACTAAGTTAGTGGCTAATACCGTCCAGAGTCGCTGGGAGTTGGGGAGCATGTAAATTTAATTAATCCATTAATAATAGGGCTAAGTGTATTGTGAGAATGGGGTCTTCATTTACCAGGGTCTTCCTTCGATGGCTCCTCCATCGTAGGCTTAATCATTTTCCTCTTCTATCACCTATCTACATGGTTGCTCAGCATCGAAAATGACTTGATGGCACATAATTAATCAATCCCATTAAAAATTATAATTCGGGGACCCCATTTGGAGGGTCCCCGAAGGTCACGCTCAGGACTTCTCAGGTTCCATAGGTGACCCTGGGCCCTTCGCTAATGCATCCCCGGGTTAAGGGACAGACAGACAGACAGACAGACAGACAGCCCTAAGGGACAGCCCTGAAGACCAGAGTTTTAGAAAGCTGCAAACGGTAGAATTGGAGAACTGATACTCAGATCAGGGGAAATCAGGGCAAGCCGATTGCAACCCTCTTGGGATTCACTCGGCCCGGTCTTTGAAGCTCTGCAAATTGCTACTCCTGCGGAAATAAAAGAGCGCATAACACCGAGCCAGATTCAAAGGGCTGAATTTGGAGCTGGGATGGAAAAACGGTCCATCTGTGTCTCCAAGTCCAAGCGCACTTTGGAAACCCTCCCTGAGATTGCTGAAGGGGATTACAATCTGTTTACCCCACTCTGGAGCGGTAAAGAGGCTCAAACTCGATCGGGGAGCTCTTATTAAAGAGACTGATCCTTTCATGGTGGACAAAATAGAAAACGCTACCCTGCACCTTTGCCCACCCACATAACTTCCCCCTCCCTCCCAAATCGTGTAAAGAACAGCCCTAGGCCAAAGGTCTCCAAAGGGGATGCGAGGGTCTCGGGGGGATCCACTGGAATGCTGGAAGAAAATATTAGAATGTCTGTTTATATTTATCCCATCCTTTTTGGATTTCTATTGTTTGGGGTATGTTTTATATTAGTAGAGTAGTGTGTGTGTGTGTATATATATATTTGTGCCGTACATACATACATATCTATAATAGAACCATAAGGTTGGAAGGGACCTATTTTAATCCATTCACTCGTGCCCAATTCTCGGAGACTGCCTGGACAAGCCCCTGCGGTTTTCGTGGCCAGGTTTTTCAGAAGCGGTTTGCCCTTGCCTGCTTCCTAGGGCTGAGAAAGTGACTGGCCCAAGTTCACCCAGCTGGCTTTGTGCCTAAGGTGGGACTAGAACTCACAGCCTCCAGATTCTAGCCTGGTGCCTTCACCACTAGACCACACTGGCTCTAAAGAATATATCATTTATAAGTAAACACGTATTGGAGGTGCATGCTCAGAATTATTATTATTTTTTTTACTGACAAGGGTGCTGATCAAAAGGGTTGAGAGGCCGCTGTCCACGACCTCCAAAAGTTGCCCATGCTTGCAATCCACCGAGAAAGTCACAACTTCCTTTTCTCCCAACCGCCTGCAGGAGACCCGACTTACGGCTTGCTGCCGGAAACGGCAGGGAGGGAGGCCGAGATGGTAGATCCACGCAAATGGGGGTGAGATTCAAAAGCCACCTGTGGAAACCAAGGAGGGAATCAGGGATCAACCGGGGCTCATGATGAAAATCTGCCGCATCTTTGGAACCTTTCTGGTTTAACTCTCAGCAACCTGGATCAGGGGAGATGGAAAGAGCCGTCTTTCCAAAACGCTGTAGACCTGCTACCTCTTAGAAAGGACTGGCAAAGATCCAATTCATTGCAACTCTTCCCTCAGCCACCTTGAACACTCCCCACAGCAGAAAGGCAAAATCAAATGGATTAATATATTCAAAACCATGAGGACTAGGACCTCGCATGTTCCTTAGAAGAAGGAGCAAAGGCCTGGGTTTTATACATTTCCCCTCAAAGTTTCTCAGATTTGGCAACTTTAAGATGTGTGGGCTTCAACACCCAAAATTCCCCAACCAACATTTGGGGACTTCAACTCCCAGAATTCCCCAGCCAGCCATGCTGGCTGGGGAATTCTGGGAGTTG